GTTGTCACCGTCGCCTGCGGACGCGGCCCTGAGCCACTGCTGTGCCCCCCCACACTTGGGCCCTGCTCTCGCTCACGGTTCCTCGGCCGCTGCCCACGCCTGTGCCGGGGGCAGGAAGGGCCCTGTCCCTGCGCAGCGCTCACCCCTCCCTGTGTTGTCTCTGTGCTGTCGTGTCCTGCCACCGCTGCCACCTCCACCTGCCCTGCTTTGCCCTGAGGCTGGGGCTGGTGGCCCAGGCCACTGATGCGCAGTCCCAGCACTCTGTAAATATTTGTAACCACAGGAACGAGCTTATTCTGGGGCAAAGGAAGCTGGAAATAAAGGCTGTGACTCACATGTCCACGCGTGTGAATGGATCACTGCGGTTCAGGGGGCTGGAAGTGGCCGTGTGGCCCTGTCCCTGTGTGAGGGAGCCTGGGCTGGTGCCGGGTCTTTGGAGAGGAAATGCTCTCTTGGGCACAGGCTGGGGCCAGGCCTGACCTCAGCACAGCGAGGCCAAGTGTCCCCATTGTCCCGGCAATGCCCGGTCCCCTACACAGGGCAGGAAGAGGCATCTGCTGCACCCAGAGCCAGGAATTGCCCTGGAAAAGTGAGCGTCACTGGTAACCAGCCCCACACGATGGCAGCTGCACAGTCCTGGTAGGGCAGATGTTGGTTTGTTTATTTATTAAACTAATCTTTACGAGTCACAGGATCTCAGTTGGGTCTCAGTGGCTTTTATTGGTTGAAGTTTTTTTCCTATTGCTTGTGATTTCATACCGAACAAACATTTCAGGCTGGGCATGGCCATGCTGGTCCAGCCAAGGGCCACAACGTTTGGGCCACCCCTCGTCCTCCCAACCTGAATTTTGACTCTGGGGTGACATCGTCATTGCAGCGCTATTGGGCTTGCCTTAAGTAGGTTTGATGGGCTTGCACAGCTGCTCTGGACTCCAGAAGGGCTCAAGGCAGCAGGAGATGAGGCCAGGTGGGGTTGTTCCTTTTTTTTTTTAAACTCTTTTTAAAATAAAAGCCCAGGACTGGTCTAGTTTAAAAGGAAGACAAGTGTGTGGGTCAAGCATGGCATTTTGATGACCAGAGAGATCTAGGTTAGGGAATGGGAAAAGAAAAATCAAATTGCAGTGAAGGGGCCATCATTAAGCTATTTAATTCCTCAGTAATGCAAAGAGCTACCAAGCTCGTTTCCAGAAACCACTTGTGAACCGGAGGAAGAGTAAACCCGAAGGCTCTGCAGGGACGGTGTCTCCTTAGCGCCAGCCGTGACGGAGCCAGGGGAGGCTGACGAAGGGACACAACGTCCTCAAAGTCCCCGAGCACAGACCTGAACGGGCACGGGAGGCACCGTCTGCAGGTGCCAGGGGTCACGTTCTGGGAGCAAGCACCAAAGCCACGTATTTGACAAAGCCACGTATTTGATGTTCACGTCCCAACCTGCCGTTACGCCATCGCGGTGACGCAGCCCCGGCTCCTGAACAGCCGCTGCCCGCGCCACTGCCCACGTCCCGCCTGTGCTGCCAGCTCTGAGCAGCACCATCGGCACCGCGCGGCTGCCTCCCAAAACGCCGTCACCCACCGGGAGCCGAACCTCGGCGAGGACCAGGCAGCCCCGAGAGGCAGCGCCAGGAGCGGCCGAGACAGCGGCAAGAACAGAAAATCAGAGACGTGAAAGAAAACCCCACAAGTCGTCGATAGGAAAAGATTTTCCATTTAATACTAGACTCTCTCAGGATTGAGATGCAGGCTTTTATGCAATTACATCCAATGTTAAAATTGGTAATACATAATTTACAAAGATTAACATCAAAACAATGATCTATTTAGATATGCTTTGTAAAAAGGAAATATATTAGCAGCATTTATTTTCAGCAATCACACAGCCTACACCCATGCAGACTAAGAGTTCATATCTATTTGCAATAATGTAGTGCTTCCTGGTCTTAAAACAGCGATCCTGGTGACACACCGGTCTTCTCGTTATTATAAAATAACCGAAAAATAAAAAAAGTCATTAATTTCTACACCAGTAAGAAAAACAATTCTTTGCACTTACCTAACATTTGATTGTCTAAAAAACATTTTGTTTAGTCTTTCAACAAAAGAAAGATAAAATGACAGAGCTAGTGTCTCGCTTCTGTATGCACTTTATTTTTTAAAAACTTTTTAGTGTTTAACACCATTTGAGACAATGATTTCTGTTTTAAACTAAATGAGACAACTCAAGGTTCTGGACATGCGATATTCCTACTACACGCACGAGTATTTTATACTCAGGGTTCCTGGTACTGTACAGTGCTTCTCTACAGTAAGAAAATATTCCAAACTATTTTCTTATTTCTTTTTTTTTTTAATAAAATATTTTTTCTCAAAGGGTTTTTTTCCTTTCTTTTTTTTTTTTTCTTTTTAAATCAACACATAAAAGTTAATGGAATGAGTCATGTTCCACTAAGAGTAAAATAATTATAATAATAACAAGAATGTACATTAGGACAAGCTTGGTCCATTAAAAAGGAACATGTAACTACTGTATTGCTTTACATCCACGCAGCAGATATATACAACTTGGCACATTAAAAACTGGATTTCTTATAAGAACATCTAAAACAGGACTTATATGCATATGTACGTCTGAAGGACAAAAGCAAAGCCATCGGCAAGGGGCAGCGTGCGCCGGCCGCCCCCGGCCCTGCCCGCGCG